TAAATCAGGAAATAATCATGTCGTGTGTTTCTTAAAAAAAAAATGCACAATCAAAAAGGAGAATAACTCGTATTTGGAAGAATTTCGGGTACGCATCTGCATCACAGTGCTCCTTTGATGATATACCTACAAAACAAACGTCATTGAGCGATAGATTAATAATTCTATATTTCTGTATATTCGATTTAATGTATAATTCTGCGTACTCTTACCCTCCTGAACAGTGCGTCCTCTTACCGTACATGCAATTCGCGCACAAAACAACCCCGAAACGTTGTGCAAAACTTCGCAAACGGAATATTGCAGTGTACAGTATTTCCCCAGATAGCCTCACAAGTTTCTCACAACAATCACGGAAATGTACCTTATCTCAACTGCCAAGTATCAAAATTATTGTACCAGATCATAATAATATCATAACGCTCGAAAATAATATTCATCGCCTTAAACTAAACAGCGTCGCCGCTCAACGCCCATGTTCCGTTGGTGACATGCACGCACTGGCGGCTTCATGTCACTTCATGAACTCGACAAACCCGCGTTGCTAAGCAACCGAAACAGCTGATGCGTACTCTTATCGCCCGCGTACTCTTACCCGCCCTTACCCTACTCAGGCCGCTCATCACCCTGGTCCAAACACACGGCCGGTGACGGACGGCCGGCTGGCGTGGCGGTCACAACACGTCTTCGGCTGTCACAGCGCGGCCGGACCGCGCCGGTCTGGTGGGTGTGGCAGGTGCAAGACGTCGCTACCCGTCCCCAACCACTGAAGTGTTTGCTGGGCTGGTTGGTTGGCGCCTGTTCGCCCTCTGCCCGCGCCACTGAGGAGTGTGTAGGTAGTGCCTCAAGAGCCTCATGGGCCGGACGTGAGCGGTGGGGCGACATGGTGGTTGAGCCGCCAACCATTGAGTAATGGGGAGCCAAGGACCTGAAACGCGCCGCTGCAGTTCTGTTACTGCCCCCACACCGTGCAACCGCGATGAATGGCGGTGTGTGCGCCTTGTGAGCGGCACCGGCTCCGCCAGATGTGTTAGCAGCTGGGCAGCCGGCCGTCTTAGAAGTGGTGACTGGGTCCGGGACATCCACTTGCAGGAATGTGGGGACAATGGTCATGTTAGTTTGAGGCCACTTGGCAGAATATGGGAGGAGAGATGGTAAAGCTAGTTTGAAAAGCTTGCAGTGCCATGACCCTAACCTCGGTGGAACACGCTTTCAGTGAATGTCTCCCATAGCTCTTAAAACAAGTTCTGACATAACCTTTTCAAAACTTCTACACACCTTTAGGAGCGGACAAACACTCGCCTGAATGAATTCAATCAAACTCAGTCATAGCTGGGACAAACTTTATTGCTTGGCATTTCAGCGTGCCTCTCGTTCCTTGATAAATTGAACCACTTTTTAAATCTCTGACTGCAATCACCAGCGGAGTACATATTGGCTCTGGAGCCGGCTGAAATATTCCCTCCCATCGCGCTGATACATCGTCGCTTATCGACGGCAGGAGCCGCCGGACTGGTGACCGGGATGGCAGCAGTCAGCTGCGTTTTCGGTGGTGGCGGCAGTCTGCCGGTCTGGTGGGCCGTTTCCACTCATATGGGCTCTGCGTAGGGTAGCCGTTCAATTGGCCACAGCTGGGGTACGGTGTGCGGGTCCGAGCCGGTTTGCCTCTGTCGGCTGCTCTACCGACCGAGGTCGAACTGTCTCCGTCTGGCACTCTTGTGGGACTGACTCTTGTGAGGACTGAGATGGACTAGGAGGCAATGTTGGAATTGCGAATTTTGGTCCTGGTCCCGGAGAATAAAATCTGTCTGGAGAACCGGCCAGCTTGTAGAACACTGATCAGGAAAATCATCTGTTTGGCCTACTAAATGTGACACTAGTTGATAAAATGTGTTCCATCAATCAGGGTTGTGCTTGACTCATGAGTCGAGTCAGAAATTTGACTCAACTCTGACTCAAATGAGTCAGATTTGAGTCGAGTCGGATAAAATGTTGAGCTGTTGAGTTGAGTCAGAGTTGAGTCGGACAAAAATATTAAGGCGTTGAGTTGAGTCAGAGTTGAGTCAGTAAAACAACTTTTGACATTTGTATTTGTATTTGTATTTAACATCTGGGGGGCATCCACAGGTAGTTGTGGCTATTACGCTCCCGCGTCATATGAGAATGGAACAAAAAGACATCACACTCAACATATCACACAAAACTCACCAAAACGCATGGCTATGCATGAATAGATTTCAGCTGACATACATGCAACCCATATGCATAAGCCTAAATCAGTGTTGAAAGCGACGTTTGAGAGATGATTTGACCTTGTTTGTTGACATGTCCGGAAAACCACTGGGCAGTGCGTTGTACTGCATGGCTGCACGGTAGCTGAACCTTCGACGCCCCGCCTCTGTGTGGATGCCAGGTAGCCACAGCCTGCTATCCCGTCTAGTCGCTCGCTCGCGCATCTCCTCATTTCGGCGAAACATAGCGGCAATGTCAGCTGGCTCGCCCGTTCGGATAACCTTGTGCAGTAGCACCAGCGTATCGTACGACGATAGGTCACCAGCCGAGAGCCACCCCAGCGCGTCCCTTACATCAGCCACGTGGTCATATTTGCGACGGCCAGACACAACCCTTGCGGCAAAATTAATGACCTTATCAAGTCGTGCGAGGTTCCCTTTCGAGCAGTTCCCGTAAACGGGCAGGCAGTACCGCACATGTGAGAGAACAAGGGCAGTCACAAGCGTCACAATCGTATCCTCTGGTATGTAGTGGCGCACCTGGCTCAATCCTATCACTTATCAGCGCTCCGAAACATTTACCAACAATGGCAGCGACATGGTCATCCCAGGTGAGGTAAGAATCGAAGGTCACGCCCAGATTCTTGACCCTTTGACACGGTTTCAAGACGGCGTCTCTAAATCTTACATTTATGTCAGGCAGGTTGCGCATGCTCTGCCGGCTGCCAAACGCAATCAATTCAGTCTTGGTGGCATTGACTTTCAACCCATTGGCCGCAAACCAGTCACTGAGGGCTGCCAGGGTCGTCTCCATTCTAGTCACTGTGTCGCTCATCGCTGTCCTACACTGAAAACAAATCTACTCGTATATGGAGAGTAAAGGTCATTTTACCAGCCGCTAATGAGTTTCAACCGCTGGTTTACTCGTGTATGAAGCATTCCAAGCCCTGAGTTCTGGTTTACTCATTACAAAAACTCATACAAAGAAATCAATGACCTTCCATCCATGAGTAAGGCGGCCCCGAACGCATGAAATAATGCTTGTCTGTCAGGAAATGCGAGTTTCTTGACTCATGTATTGCGCGTAATTATCGTACTCACGAATCATGCATTCACTAAATCTGTAGAAAGCGAGTTCTGGAAATGAGTTATGAGTAAATAAAATCACGAATCGTGTGTAAAAAGCGTACTCACAGCCGACCGGTTAGCAAACTCGTTTTTGACGTGTTTCTTTACCGATGGATCATAGGCCGCCTCGCCGCCATTTTTGTTCCGGCCGGATCCGTGTGTGCAGGGGGAGTTGCGTGCTGCAAGTTAAGGTGAGTAAAATACCAGATATTTTGTTTTATAAAGTGTATTGAGCGTGGCAAATACCGGATAATTAAACGACAGCTCTCTTTGCTAACCTATATGCATGCCTGGGATATTAATATACAGAAAAGGGGCCAGGAAGTTCACATGTGTGACCCCGCGTCCACGTCATACTGCAGTTTAGGTATCAGACTGCCTTTCAAGCAGCATATAATGAATTTATAGACCACTGTACATCCAGATCCAGGGTCACAGGCAGAATTAGCTTATATTATTAATATGCACATAGCCAGGGTCATGCTTGTAGCGGCAAAATTGCATGCCAAAAGCTTCAGTGCATGTCCAGCGTAACATCTATAATCTATATGCGCTGAATTAGAAAATATATCAGGTTTTCAGAGCCTTGAAATTCAGGGTAAAAAAAGAAGAAAATTTTGACCTATTTTGATGGTTTATCAAATACCACTATCATCCAAAAGCTATCTGTGACATGCATATTAGAGGAATACCAAAATGTAAATGCAAACAAATGACAAAATATGCAAGTTCACAGGTGCCCAGCTATTATAAAAAATTGATTTAGGTCGAAGGTGGGTAGGTTGGAATGTTGTGCTTGGTGTCTGGTGAAAAATGTTTTTGAAACTGCTTATTGGCTGTTCTCAGATGAAATTTCACCACAAATATTCCTTGTGCACATGACTCGCAGGCTGGCCAGTGTCCATGCCACACTGCAGTTTCCCATGGAGTTAACCCGCGCCCTGGTGGGGGGGGGGGGGGCTATTTTTTGCCCCCCTCCAGACTTTTCGATATATCTCCAGCACCGCTGCGCTGATCGTCACCAAACTTTCAGTATCCTCCCGGACATCAATTTTACACATTGTGACCAAAAATTTTTCCAAAGGCTATGATAGGTTGGCCGGAAATGACGTCAGAGTGCCGTCATGTTCTGCCGTTTTCGACCCAAAAAAGGGTTTCGCGGGAAGAGCTGTCAGGCCTATGGCTTTGCAAATACAGAAAAACGATAAAGACATAAAAGCTGTAGAATTGACAGCGCTACAAAACTATGATCTCGGATTTGTGAAATTTTTGGATTTTGACCCCCAAAAATCAAAAAATATATTTTTTTCATATAATAGCCGAAAAACCCACAAAGTTTTTTTGAATTTCGCAAAAACTGGAACATATGTGATAGTCCTTACCGCCTTCTATCCACATACCAAATTTGAGATTGATACCTCTTTTTTGGCGAAGTTATAGCGAAAAAACTGTTCAAAATTGATGACGTCAAATTTTCAAACTCAATTTTTAGCAATTCTAGACCCCGTAGCGCAAAACAAAGACCACCATTAGACTCCCCGTGACGAGCTGCATGGAATCAATACCCATTTTATGCAAAACAATCAACTTCAAAATTTGACCTTTTTTGACCTGACCTGACCTTTTACCTAAACATGTTTTAAATTTTAATGCCCGCTTTTTAAACAAACCAGTAGAACGTATTGCAGCAAAATTAAACATTAAAAGTTGCAAAATCAGATGACATTTTCTCCCAGCACCGGTGCATTAGTTTGCTCTCAGGAAACTGTTCAAAATAGAATGGCTGACCGTAACTGTGCATTTATTGTTGTGGCGTACATTAATAGCATCCATTTGTCTGTTATTCAGAGTCTCAGCACCTCTGTCGATGCGGAGGTCACGGCCGCCACCGCCGACCCCGGCGAGGGCACCAGCGCGAGCGGGCCGCCGGCAATGGACATTGAGGAGAGCTGGCTCGTTATCGGTGAGTATAGAGAGTGAATGTTCATTTGGATGAATACGGCTTCGCTCCGCTCAGCCTCCGTCTGAATAATATGTTGCCCTGCCCGTCGTCAAGGACGTTGTCCGGCCCTCTGTTAAATTTAATTTATTTAGCAGCATTTATGGACTTTGTGAACATTTGTGAGCGTTGCATGTTTGGAAATGAACTTGCCCTAGGGCTGGCAATTTAATTATATAACCTCGTATTTTATCGAAATACCTCTCGGAACTTCGGCAAAAACTCGGTGACATAATTAAATTGTCCCCAGCCCCGGGTGTGTATATTTTCTTTTCTGCTCTCAAAGTTCCTGTTTTTTTTTTTTTTTTACCTTACGGCTCGGGATAAAACCGTTACATCACTCGAGAGTAAAATATGCGTTAATCGACCCGAGGCAACTTGCTCGGGATATAACCATTAATAATATCGGAAATATTTGTTCTCGTTGCAGACGATGCAGTCGACCACCTGCTGCACCGCGCTGGCGAGCACGGAGCTGTGTTTCAGCTATCCCCAGTACCCATGGCCGCAAGTTCGAGCTGGCATGCTCTACGTGGAGAATGAGACGGTTGTCGAGTTCAAAGAGCTATAACCTCGGCGGTCGACTTAAGTGACCAGCTGCCGGGACAGAGACTGACCGGCAGAGTTCTGTTGGTGCCTCATGCTTTTCTCTGTTTGTTTCTGTTTTCTGTTCCGCAAGTTTTTGTCATTATAACTAGTTGCAGTTGAATTAGCTTGTTGCAGTTCGTTTATGTTTTGCTGCAGGGTGTCCCTTAACCGTAAAGAGACGTGAAACGTTGGATGCTAATGAATGAGATACAAGGCACTTTGATGTTAAGCACAGGCAGAGCTTTGGAGTCGTAAATGTATCAGTTAACCAAACCATTGAAAACTGTGTTTGCGTATGACTATTCGGAAACTGCGTCTTTCACATGCCATGGTTGCACGACCTTGCTATAGAATACGAAATAACATAATCGCACATAAGACTGTGAAATAGAAAGCTGCTTGGTATAATAGTCTGCTCCTTATGATGGGTTCCTATAGCTGGTGTCTTGCAACCAGCTATGATCATTGAGCGTTACCGTCCATAATAGGTTGTCCAGCTTGCTTGTTCGTATGTGCATGAAATACAGATTTAACTTTGCTGTTCTCTTGATTTGTCATTCGTTCTAAACAGTACAAAATGAGCGCAGGGTTATTATTATTTTGTCAATTTTATGTCGCCCATGGCATGACAATAGGTATCCACGCACTTGTCGCTTTACAGATCATTCGATATCTTGTTGATTGTTCTTATAAAACGACCACGTTTCTGTGTTCGGTGTCATTGCTCGGTGTTAGTATTACGGATAGTGTATGGTCTTGTTGGATGTTCTTCCTCGTCTTGCATGCTATTTTACACACAAAATAACACGCAAGATGGGAATGAAAATCTGATAAGTCGCGTTATCCGTAATATTAACAGCGGAAAATCTACTCATCTTCTGCCGGTCAACCTTACCTATGACTGATAGGTAGGTTGACTGGTAAGAGGTGAGTAGATTGACCGGTCGCTGGCGCAGTCAAATAGGTGGTGTCCCACTGACGAGCACCTGCGTATCGTCAGCGTACTGAACGATACGCGCATCAAGGGCATGCAGGCTCATGTCGTTCGCAAAGCAAGTGAACAACAAAGGCCCGAGGGCCGAGCCTTGGAACACACCAACATGGTTTGGCAGTGACTTGGAGAGTACGCGGTGACCCCTACCATCACTGATGCATACACTCTGTGTGTGGCCCTCAAGATATGAGCGGAACCATCCAGCGTCAATCCCAAGTAGTTGGAGCTTGTCAAGTAATTTAGAATGGTTGATGATATCAAAGCATTTACTTAGGTCAATGAGACACAGGAGAGAAATTTCGCTGTTGTCCATGGCTGAGGCCTGAGAGTATACTATCGGAGACGTTAATAAGAGCGGAAGCAGTCGAATGGTTGGGCCGAAATCCATGTTGACTGTCCGAGAGAAGAAAGTTGCTAGAGAGGTAATAATGGAGCTGACGCTGGACGATCCGCTCAGTGATCTTGGCGATAACGGGCACAAGCGATATCGGCCTATATTTGAGTTGAGTTGAGACATTGAGTTGAGCCAAACATTTAGGAACATGAGTCAGCTAACTCAACTTTCTAGAAACAAGCTTTTCATCCCCCCCCCCCGCCTAACAACTTCGCCCTGGCCCTGCTCCCGGATTTTTTTTTTTCACCACCGCCCCCGTTCAACAACTTTTTTATCTGAGTCAATTTTGAGTCAACTCGCTTGACTCAACAAAAAATTTGAGTCAAGTTTGAGTCAACTCATATTTTCATTGAGCCGCTTGAGTCATGAGTCGAGTCAAGGGCAAAAATCAGCTCCTTGTTTGAGTCAGAGTTGAGTCAGGGCTTTCTGAAGTTGAATGATGAGTCGAGTCGGCAAATTTTTTTGAGTCGAGCACAACCCTGCCATCAATGCTATAGCTGCATGTTTTAGGCGTTTTAGGCGTAATAAAAACAGTTTTTCATGACACAGACTGGAAATTTAAGAGATTTCAGGTGCCGGAGTATAAATTCGTAAAGGAGAACAAAATCGGTTGGACTCCACTGGGACCAGCAAAGGGCCTTATTTCCAACATTGCTAGGAGGCGAGACAGCCAGAGTAGCTTACGGACCCGGATGGGATCACCTTCGGAATATTCGGCTTGAGGTCAACCGGAAGCCAGAATAGAAGTGGTGTATGCAGCCGATCCTCCAGCCCTGAGTCCTGCCCCATGAGGACAGCGGCTCGTAATAGTTACCAGGTGGTCCCGTCGGGAGAGGCTCGTTACGCTAAGCTCGCAGTCAGAGGATGGATATGCCTATAAGTTATAACATATGATGCAAGCAACCAATATAACATATTACCTAACCGTGATACACCACAGCTGCGGGGCTACGGGCTGCATCGCCTCACCAGAGTGGGACGTCGTTCACGATGGGGCTTCACCAGAGAGCGGTCGACCTTGTAAGGATGCATCGGGGTCGGCAGGGAGAGCGCGGAACTGGCGACATGTGTGCCCGCGGGACACTGCAAATGGGCTGTCGTCTCCTTCGGGTGACGGTATATGGCCAACTGAACGACAATCTAGCCGTAAACTGAAAAGCTATGTCGTTCTTTTCCACTAGCCTCAAAGTTTAATGGAAACTTTTCATAAGAGCTGCTTTGATGTGTAGTTTTCCAGATTGAATGCCTCAAAAGCAGCTGCTGATGTCAGGAGAATTGGCCGCGAAAGTTACGGGTAAACAGAACTCCTTTGAGCTTGGTCTGCCTTTGATCCACGGAAATGCATATTCTATTAATTACGGGCCCCGTGTTAGTGCTTTCCTCCCGATTCCGGACGGTGAGGCAGGCTGGCGTGGCGGTGCTGCCGCCGTCGGTGCTGCTCGGCCTATCGTCGGTCGATGTTGGCGGTGTCTGTGATACACAACCGACCGCGGTGTATTGTCCCTCAGCTCCCCCAACCGACCGACGCCATCCATCGACACTAACAATGGCGACGAGCTTGGCTTTCGACAACCGGGCTTCGCCGCCGTGGTAGATGGCCGTGCCGTGACGGAGGCTCGGGAAAAGGTGGGGACGCAGGGCGGCGACTGCGAGCCACTTCACCCAACTTCCGTCTGATCTGAGGGGCAGTGTTTCTCCAGAAACCGTGCGCCGGAAGAGGGGGAGGGGCGGCGAGGAGAGGCGCCAACTCCCACCGGCCCGTCCGTCTCTCTCCTCGAGTCATCGCCAGACTTCTAAAGACACATTAGCCACGCCAAGTGATCGTAGGATTAGCCACGGGCAGCGGCCGGAATCAAAATGGGCTCGGTGGGATCGAGAAGGACTGAGATGGATTTGGAAATTGATGCGGAACGGAAATAGACTGGTGCTGGATTAAAAAGGATGAGATGAACCGGATTCAGTTGCAGCAAGGAGGATGAACGGATTTGACTTAAAGGCACAAAAAATTAGTTCAAAGAGTTGCCAGATGCCCGTCGATGCCTTTTTCTTTTCTGTCGTTCGCACTTCGCATGAAGACAAGGAGGACGAACGGATTTGACTTAAAGGCTCAAAAAGTAGGGGAAGTTGGGGGAACGCCGAAGACTTTTTTCTGACGCCCGTAGCACGCAAGGTAGACAACATAAGCTATTCTTGTTGGCGTCATTCGAGAGGCCAGTCTTTTGCCTTTCAAACATACCAGGCGCATTTGATGAATTCGCATACCGTTAAGCGCACAAACTAAAAATATCAAAGAAGTGACTTTTTCGGCGTTGCCCCGGACTGCGGGGAAAGCCGAAAATGGGAGAAATGCACTACGGGGAATGCCGACATTGATGTTTTGCCATTTTATCTCAAACTTGATCCAGAATTGATCAAAGCTGACACGCGTTTTAAGAGCTTGAGGACGCGGTGCACACTGGAAGTTATAATTGTGTGATATAATAAGAACATGCCAGGTAAATCATTCCTTATAGGTAACAGGCCGTTGTGTCGGTTGAAAGTGTAATTTGTGTGACTAAAAATACGCGTTGCTATTCTACAGCAGTAAAGTCCACGTAGCGTGCTTTTAACACGTGCGTAATCGCACGTTTTCGGCATTACCCCAGCCTGCCATACTTTCATTTGCAGGCCCATAACCTTTCAACGTGCTGTATGAATTTCAAATAGGCAGCACACTTATGCAAAGACATGCTAAAGATTACTTGACCGAATTGGCCAGACAAACGGTAGCATAATGAGTAAGAAATGCAGCTTCAAAGGCGCATGTAGTACAAGGGAAACGTACCTTGAAAACGCTCTTGGCGCCCTCACAGTCGAAGTATTCCGAATGACGACTCGTAACAAACATGCGATAATTGTAGTCACTTAAGCTTCAGAACATCACTGACAGGTGGCATCCATGTCTTACGGTTTTCGAAATATCTCGAATTTCGGCTTTGCCCCAACTCCGGCATTGCCCCAACTTCCCCTACCTGAGTCCAAAGAATCGCCAGGTGCCCGTCTATGCCTTTTTCTTTTCTGTCGTTCGCACTTTGCATGAAGACTAAGATATCATTTAGCTATGAGAGATGTTTATCTGATCAAAAATGGAATGAGCTACCACGGTTGGTGTATAGAATAAAAGCTGCGACTTTCCCGCACTACCCAGCGTCTCCTATTTCTGTCTTCTGCGACCACACCTGACGGGGCTGGGACTGGTTCCCCTGCGGCCGCTCCGCGCGGGGCCGGCCCCCTCCTGAGACTCCCGGAGACGCTCCGGGATCCCCTGGACGCCCTGCAGCTCGCCAATGTTTATTGATAGCTTCTGAGCACCAGCCGAGCGCGCAGCTGGATTGTCTTGATTGGCGCACAATTGCATTGCTGCGTCCCTCGCAGGGATCTGCGCTTGGAACGCTGCTCTTTGTCGATTGTTATTATTCGGAACTGTCTGTGTTTCTCGGGGAGGAGACATATCCCCCGGGAGTCGTTGATCGATCCGGGGATGTGGGCGGAATAGTGTTCCGATACGATAATGCATAGGGTTCGATACGTGGAAGCGTCATCCGAGTCGAAATGACTCGTAAACGGCCGGTCATTTTCGGCATCAGGCAGTCCTTACTTCCTAAGTCCATCTTTCATCACCGTTTTGTTGAGTCGATGTGTAACGGTTCCTTTTTGGACATTGTCAGTCTCAAACCTGGTTCAATAAAGCTCCGTATTTTATTATTCACGCCTGATAAAGCTACCAGCATGTGGTAAATGACGATGGACCTGCTGTAAACATACGTCCCTGCATCTACCATACTGCATTCGTACACTGTTTAACAGCCGTCTGGGACTCGTCTAGGAGTTGTTCAATCGATCCCAGTTCGTGATGTGGTCTGGATTACGGGGCTGAGGGGTCGCTCGTTGGCCCATTGATCGCTGGCCGACTAGACAGATCGACCAGTCATCTGTCCCGTCAGCTGGTGACTGGTGGACTCACCATGGGTTACGATGTGTCTCTGCCCGCCTGTGGTCAGTGGAACGGGAGTTCCCATAGCGCTGGACGGATCTGCCCCGACACCAGCGCCGCTAGCTGTTCCCGAATTTTCCTATTGCGGACAGGTAAAGGTTTATCTTAGTATGTGAAG